TGTTGCAAGTCAAGAAACTAAATTACCAAGGAAGCTCTGTTTTCTTTCATCTTATTTAATGCATAGCTGTGCGGCAGTAGTAAGCTAATAATTAAGGGGCATTCTACCTCCTCCTCGGATACTTTGATGTGTGATGACTGACTCCATATACTTGTGTGGTTGAGTTTCGAAGCTCTTATTCGTGTCCATAAAAACTGGCCAAAATCAAAGGGGCAAAAGGCAAGAACAACAGCGGAAACTACCTGCATCTGAAAAATGGGAGACTTAGTCCAAAATTAATCATGTCTTAACTCCATTATTCTGTCTAATTTTCAACATGATCTAGTTTGATGTCTGGGGATTCTTGTAGAAAGGCAGTCAGGATATTACTCTTGGTAGCAGTTCTTTAAACTCTAAGTAGAATTTCTATCAACAGAGACCCCATGTTAGTCTCCCAGTGGGTGGGGTGGGGAGAAAACTTTGTAAAGTTAATATATATTCACCCATGGACAAATACAACTATGCAGATTTACCATTCACTTGTGGACATATACAGCTATGCAGACTTACCATTTGTACACATTCTTTTATTCATATTTTCATTCAAGTGGAGCTTGAAAGTGTGTGGAGTCTCTCCTCATTCATAAATATTCTAGAAAAGTCCAGAATTTATTGGCAATTCAACTGTGATCAGAGATGTATGTTTGTCACTGTTGAGACTGTAACAGTGTGACTGGAAACTCTGATAACTGGATGTTGGCACTTCTGATTTGATTATCCAAACTCTTCTCTTTTCTACTCTATTGTTCAACTCTTCTAGATTTAAAAAAATAAAATCTTCAAGTAAATAATTTAATTCCCAAAAGAGCTCTTGTTTGCTGAGTGGTTTCTGTTGGTGGTGGTGGTGGTGGTGGTATATGTGTGTGTTGGTTTGGTTTTATGGATGTTTTCTGCTTCTTTCTTATTCTATGTCCTTCAAGTTCCTTTTGGCTGTTGTGGTGATTTGGGTAGGTATGGTTTCTTCCATTTTGGAGCTCTTCCTTTGGTGATACTTGGATGCCCATTCACTCTAGAAGGAACACACTAAGAGTTGACAGGAACTCTCTCTGTCTCTGTCCCTATCTCTTTCTGTGTCTCTCCATCTCTCTCAGTCTCTCTCCCCCCCTCCCTCCCTCCCTCCCTCCCTCCCTTTCTTCTTCTTCTTCTTCTTCTTCTTCTTCTTCTTCTTCTTCTTCTTCTTCCTTCTCCTTCTCTTCTCTTTTCTCCCTCCCTCCCTCCCTCCCTACCTCCCTCCCTCCCTCCTTCCCCGTGTGTGTCACTGGCATCCAAGGATTGTGCAGTGGGAAGTCAGAGAGCTTTTGCATTGCACAATCTCCAAATGTAGCTTTTGGGATGCTGTTTTCTCCTGAGTTAGTCCAACCAAAGAAAATCCCCTGCCTGGAGGTGTAAACGGTTGCTCCCCTCCTTGTGAGAAACTTCAAGTGCAGGAAGATGAAAGGATTGCATAAACAACTTTTTTACCTAATGTTCTCTCCTGCTGCCATAGGAGGGCAGAGGATGTTCCAGCCTAGCTTTGGAGAAACAAAGGCTTGGTTCTTGCTCTCTTTCACACTCAAGTAGTCCCTATGACTTTGGCTCTGCGACCTTCAACCTAACCATTGAGGTATGCACCCCGTGTTTTATGCTTTTGTTTATACTTACTTACGTCATTTATTTTGAAATAGCAAAAGTTTCATCCCCCCCCCCCGCATTGGATTACTAGCATGATCAACAAGTTTCAATTCATCTTCAATACAAACCTCATTCTTGTACATTTGTAGAAAGCTTCTTTATCTACTTTAAGTAGAAGAGTAACTGTTTCCCTGGCTGTTAAGAGAATCCATTCAAGACCACATCACAAGAACTCTAACTTGAGGTTATACAACTCGGAAACCACTACACAGCTTGACCACCGTCAGCAGTCACATCTGACCTCTCCTCCATGTGGAATGCTGTTCCTAGCAGGCTCTAAATATTAATTAGGTTAGTGATGGTAAAGCACTGTTATAATTTTTAGGGCCTGAGTGGAGCTCAAGACCCAGAGTCCAAATTGAGAGCTTTGGGAGCCAGTAAAGCAGAGAATGAGTAATGGTATGACCAGCAATTGTGTAGTGGCCAAAGGAAGCAGGGGCCTGGTGTCCTGAGGGCTGGAGAAGAGTGGAACCCTTGGAATGAACAAAGACAAGAAGATGCATTTGTAAGGAGTCCTGCAACACTTTGCGACTGGGTGACAGAACTGCAGCCAAGATTTCCATCTACACCGGTGGGTGGGTGGGGTCAAGAGTCCTAACAGCTGGTACAACACAGCCCAGGCTTTGGAAAGGAAGTGCTGGAGTAAGTTTCCTGAGATAATTAAAAGTAAATGTTGGGATAGTGTTATTAGTGTATAAATAAAAGAAAAAAAATTACCTCTGCTAAATCGTCCCAAAGTCTAACATTGGATAACTTGGTGCTTAGTTCATCTCTTCTTCAACAAACTTACTAAAATGAGTGCCAGGCACTGTAAAGAACCCTGTGGTGTAGACAGAACAAAGCACACCTTCTTTATTTATTTAGCTCTGGTAAAATAGGCCACTGTCAAGGGCAGCTGGGTGAGGTGGCAGTCCAGAAAGGGACAGCCGAGGTTCATAGTGCCTGCTGAACTGTGACTCACCACACCCAAGCTAGCCCTCTCCTTTGCATAGGTTAAGCTAAAGTTTCTTTCACAGTTATGGTTAGTGTTACTCCTGTCTCTCCTGAGCTCCGTGTTGCAAATCTGATGGCACCTAGTGTCACTTGACCTTCCCTTAGCCAGACATACAGAGATAGGATTCCGAGTATCTGTGAACTCTCTAACATTGGATGCAAATTGTATGGCTGTGCTTTTTCCTGGTCATAGATTTTGTTATCATCTCAAAGGAGCCTGTAAGCTCAGGACAATTACTAATTATTGTCTTAATTTTCCCCAATCCAATAAAGAAACTGTTGTCTTAACATTTTTTTATTTTTATTTTTATTTATTTATTTATTTTTATTTTTTTGGTTTTTCGAGACAGGGTTTCTCTATGTAGCCCTGGCTGTCCTGGAACTCACTCTGTAGACCAGGCCGGCATCAAACTCAGAAATCCGCCTGCCTCTGCCTCCCAAGTAACATTTTTTTTTTTAACAACTAAATCATTCTACCTTAGAAGTGTGTCAGTGACTGCTATGTGGCCCCTTTTAACCCTATATTCTATGTTCTTATACCTTCATGTCCTCATATCCAGAAAGAGGAAGAGTGCTGGGCATGAGTGTCCTAACCGTTCCTATAGCAACTGCATACTTAACCTATAACAACCATAAGGCAGTCCTGTTCATAACAAGAATATAATATTTTCAAACAGACTGGAAATCTGTATGTCCAAGGCAATCTTTTAGGTTGAATTTTTGGGTTGGTTGTTTGTTTGCCAAATTTTTCGTTTGAAAAATGCTCAAGTTCAAAAACCAAGTTCAATATACATTTAGTGAACGCTCAACACACAGAGCCGGCATTCCATGCTGTGAGAGGGGAAGCGGGGACAGAATGTGCTCTCCACCATTGTGGAGAAATGACGTTTCGAAAAATATTCAAACGGCCACCAAGGGGATTCTGAAAGAAGGCATTTAGTGGTGTTTTGTTAACATCTCAAAGGACTCCATGAACTTGTGACAATTGACAGCATAGAGGGTAGAGGCAGTCTGGAGAGTCCACAGGCCTGCGTCCACACCACTGCGCATCACTACTGCGCACGCTGTACCCCATGTGCCCTCCGTCTCTGTCTACCAATAAAGGGCTAGGCTCGGAGACTGACAGCCCATTCAGAAATATAAAGAAAGAATAAGCATAGTGGAGAGGTTGTCTTTGTCCTTTGAGACACAGAAACAATGAAAACAAGTAGTGAAGGAGAAGCTGTCTCGGAATACAAAGGCAATAAAGGAGATTAAAACACATTCACAAAAATGGAAGGCAGTTTGAAAATCGATAACCTTTGTCATTATCTTTTTAAAAAAATATATTTTTGAACTAAGCTAATACAATACAAATATTGTCCTAAACTTCAAGTAATACAATTGCCTTGCTTGAAGGATACATGGACCTATAAAGGCGTTCCTAAAACGTGTACTGTGGGCATGGATACATGTTGACTTTTCTTTTTGTTCAACAATATGTAATTTAGCATCGACTATTAATATGTCATTTGTAGAGTTCTTTTATAAAAGTATTCATAAAACAGTGTCACATTCTCTTGTGCATTACATTAGAATGTGTTAATTATTATTTTACTCTCTATCCTTAGGATGAGCTGTCATCTGCCAACTTTTCAGGACAGCTCAGGGCTTAGAAGAGGGCTCATCTAAATAAAGGCCGGCTAAAGTGACATTGTGGAGACTTAATCCTTCTCTGGCTGCCTGTGTGACCAAAGGCTGATTTGCAAGACTCTTCCTTTCTGGAGTTCAGATTCTTAAGTCCCCGGGGTCTTGCGACTTGACAGCAAGAGAAAAAACAAAAAACAAAAAACAAAAAACAAAAACGAAATGAAGGTCAGCGATGAACCCCCGCTGCAGGGACTCGGGGATCGCCAAGGGGCTTTTACACTCTGGAGCGCAAGACTGCCTGGTTACACAGGGAATTAACAGAGTGGAGCCTTTGCCCCCCTGTTGCAGCCATCTACCACAGCGCATCAGGTTCCACCTCGGGAGAAATTATGGTAACTGAATGTGCATCTGGTTGTACAGCTCGAGCTTGGAAATCCGAGGTGAGGGGAGGCGGGAAGGGCCTAGAGTGAGGCCCCGCTGGGCTGTGTGGGCTCTATCTTGTCACTGGGTCTCCACAAGGACTTTTTGCTCAGCTCTCCCCAATCTCATGGACACTTCGCTCCCGGAGGCCTCAACTCAAGCTTGCCTCACTTGCCACCCCTGCCTGTCCTGCAAGCTGCCCTGACAGTAGCTCTGGGCTGAGATGGAGCCATGAGCCAGCATAGACGATGACTGCAGTGCTTGTGAATGGAGGCGGCCTGGTGAACACGCACTGTGACAGTTGGGACCGGAGGGACAGCGTGGAAAGCAGCTGTCAGACCGAGTGCGGCAAGGACAGCGAGGAGGACCAGCCGCGCCAGCTGACACCCTTCGAGAAACTGACTCAGGACATGTGCCAAGATGAGAAGGTGGTGAGGGAGATCACGCTGGGGAAACGCATAGGCTTCTATCGAATTCGAGGAGAGATCGGAAGTGGAAACTTCTCCCAGGTCAAGCTGGGGATTCACTCCCTAACCAAAGGTAGGATCCGACTTCCCAAAGATTACCTGTGAAGTGTTGGGGCCTAATTGAGGGTGGGGTAGAAGGCTACTTAAGGCCTTGTTTGTGGCTTAGGTTTGTACTGGTGTGTCATAAACAATGGCCTGGAACGTTACAAAACACCTAGACCACGAGGTCTCTAAATGGTAGATTCCAAGGTCCCCCACTAACCAACCAGACAGATGACTACTCCTGTTCTTTTGGGACACGGAGGGCTTGGTCTCAGGGCCTTTTCTGCCTAAGTATTCTTTGTAGATGTTCCCAATGACACTTGAAACTTCACTTCACACTTGGCAGCTGCTGGTGGCCCCGGGACTGGATCAACAGTACTCACCACTTTGGCCTAAGGGAGGAACAGTGTGGAGAGCACAGGGTGCTTTTGCTAGCTTACCCTAGTTGGGCCCTTTCCCAGAGTTAGCCCAGCTTAGTTAGAGCTAGGAATTGGCCAGTCAGCATGCCAAAACCACCATCTGAAGCTCATGGGCATTTCCCTCACCGGAGAGACCCTTCCTGATATTGTCTCCTTCGCCTGTTACCATGGCCCAAGGTCCTACTTTTCTTCTATCAGAGATCTCTTTGGCTTTCTGGTTAGCTCTGCCCTAGTCCCAGACCTTTTCATCTGTTTTACCTCGGCAGGAAAAGTTACAGGCCTAATAGTGGTAAGGGACTCGTCCAGTATGTGCAAGATCCTGAGTTCAATCACAAGCACAGCCAAATAAAAAGCATCATAAGTGTGCACACCCCTAACGAGCGCGTGTACGTTGGTGCATACACTCAGAAGTCACTGGAGCATCAAATCTTCCTCCTCACCCTGAAGCCTCCTGGGTGTCTGGGTTCACACTTCTGCATCCCAGCTACCTTAGTCATCTCTGTAAACTAAAGTCCCTCTCCCAGTTTTACAGTTTGCATTGGCAAAATACACCCAGAAACAGTGCTTGCTTCTTTGGGTGTCAGAAAGAATGAGTAAATGATCAATCAATGCTAGTTACTGATGAGATTTTTTTCAGGTACATCTATCTTGCCTTTGTGCAATCAAAGAAAAATTGAAGTCTCCTTTTCAACAGAGTTTCATTCCTCATATAAACCTGTACTCCTTATGGACTGTGGTTTCCAACTCTGCTGTTATGTGTGATGCTCCAGAGAATTCTCATTCCCAGACTTGTTTGGGATGCTAATTTCACCATTTTCTTCTTTTGAGTCAAAGTCTCCTTAAGTTGTCAAGGCCAGTATTGAACTCATTCTGTAGCCCAGATACACCATGAGCTGGCCCCGGTCTCCTAAGTACATGGGATTACAGGCCTCTGCCACCAGGTCTAATAGTTAGCATTTCATGTTTATATGAGCTCATATGTGCAGAGTGGTTTGTATGTGTGCACATGTGGTGCTGAGAACCAAATCCAGGGCCATTGTACATTGTACAATTGTAAGTGAACCCTCTACCACTGAGCTATACCTCAGCCCTGGAGTGGTTTTAAATATACTCATTTTCTCTCTGAACACCCAGACTCTTTTTTTTTTTTTTTTTTTTTTTTTTTGGTTATTTTTGAAACAGGGTTTCTCTGTATAGCCCTGGCTGTCCTGGAACTCACTCTGTAGACCAGGCTGGCCTCGAACTCAGAAATCCGCCTGCCTCTGTCTCCCAAGTGCTGGGATTAAAGGCGTGTGCCACCACTGTCCGGCACCCAGACTCTTTCTTATTTTAGTTTTTTAAAAGATTTATTTTTAGAGAGGAATGATGGCACATTCCTTTCCTCCCAGCAATGGAGAGTCAAAAGCAGGCAGGATCTCTTGAGTTTGAGACAAACCTGGTCTACAGAGTGAGTTCCAGGTCAGCCAGGACTACATAGAGAAACCATGTCTTGAAAAAAAAAGAATTTTTTTTAATTTTATTTTATGTGTATCAGTATTTACTTACATGTACGTCAGTGCACCGCATGTATGCCTGAGCTTCACAGAGGCCAGAGAAGGGCATTGGATCCTTTGGAACTGCAGTTACAGATGACTGACAGCTGCCACATCAGTGTTGGGAAACAAACCTGGGACCTCTGGAAGAGCAGCAGTGATCTGAGCCAGCTCTCTGGCCCTTTTCTTTAACTTTAAAAATATTTTTTAACTTAGTTGCACAATAAGTCTACATATTTTTGGGATACAGAATACCACACACACACACATACACACACACACACACATTATGCAATGATCATACAAGAACATGGTCCATATTTATTTGGGTGCTTACCATTTCTTTGGGTTAGGAATATTCAACATTGTCTCTACAAGTGTTCCTATGCGTTGGTTCTCTTATTCAGAAAACACACAATGGAAAGTTTCAGTATACAACGTCAAACTTCAGGGACAAATTTTAAAGCTTTATTCATAAAACTATATCCAGACTTGGTTTTGGTGTTTTTTTGGTCCAAATCAGAGATCCACCTGCCTCTGCCTCCAAAACGCGGGATTAAAGATGTGCACCACTGCCTAGCTTTAAACTACATCTAGACTAGTAAGGCAGATCTAACCCGGATGGATGTGACTTTTCAGTCGTCTAGAGCAGAATGAAAGAAAAAGACAAGGAGGTGAGGGGCCAGAGGTTGAGACAGACATTATGGTTAGGGAGAATAGATGAGACTTTGGATAAAGCCACACCAGAAAGTGACAGTCCACACCCATGCTACAGGAAGCCTGAAAGATACAAAGGCGGTTCCCTGATGTGGCCAGCTCTGGTTGCATGTGAGTATAGCTCAGGTGTTAGAACTTAGCAGAGGAAATGGGGGATGGGGCGAGTACACATTGTAGGCAGAGCTTTGACTTGAGGATCAGGAAGATTGATTTCACAAACTTAAGTAGGCATCTGACTCCATGCAAACTGCTTTGTTTTCTGTCGTATTGTTAATAAATTACAGACCACGCTTCTTAAATTTGTTAGATAACATGTGTGAAGTTTAGTGTCTTATAGTAGCTACTCAATAAACAGTGGCCCTCAAAAAATCCCCACAAGTTTATCTTGTATTTAAATCAACTTATTTTAAAAGGAAATTCATGTTACAATAATGGGAAAAAAACATCGGGTGCTTGGAAGCTAATGGTAAAAATTTTGGATGTAATAATATAATGGTAAAATAAAATTGAACAGATTTTAAAGATTTAGGAAGAAATTACGAGCTAACCAAAAGTAATTGAGTAAAACAACCAATACAAAACTTTCCTTTTGCATTGATTAGGAGAATTGGCTAGAATAACTTTTTATTCTGCAATAACATTTTACGTGGTTGGAGGCTACTTAAGGCTTGCCTGGGGCGTGACAATTATTTTGTGCCTTGTGAATCTTAAGGGCTTCATATTAGGAAACTGTGATGTTATCCAGTCTCTTTCGGTCTTATAGATGAGGAAACAAAGGTTCAGAACTGGCTGGTCCCACATTGCAACAAAGCTGGGTATACAATTTTCATCTTACTTCACAGGGCTTCCTTGGAACTCTGGGATAGTGTCGAAGAGGCATGTCTCTCTACCATGACTCTGACTAGCTAGCTGAAGTTAGCTGCTACTGATGGTGCTTTTAGACTCTGGACATTCTCCCCACTTTCATAGCACTCACAAGCAGTGATTTTGTCAAAGAAACAGGAAACAACCAGGAACAATACGAGTCTGTAACTATGTTAGTCAGCTTTGCGGTACTATGACAGACCGCCTGAGACAATAAAGCTTTGAGGAGGGGGATGTTTATTTCGTTTTAACTTTAAGAAGTTTCAATCCATGCTTATTTGACCCCATTGCCTTTGGTCCTATGGTGAGGCATTAAAGCTCAGTGAGAGCTATACTGGATGAAGCTGCCCCTCACATGCGGACTAGAAGCAAACAAGGGAGACACGTTGAGAGACCAGGGTCCCAGTGTCCCCTTCAAGAGGACACTCTCAATGCCTAACATCATCCCAGTAGATCCCACCTCTTAAGCTTCTGCCACCTCCCAGAAGCATCATGGACCAAGGACCAAGTCTCTAGCACATGGACTTTGAGGGATATGTTATAGCCAAACTGTAACAGTAACCAAATCTCACAAAAGCAGCATGGAGTCTTCTTACAGATGACTTCCTGTCTGTCCTTCTCCCGTCAGACAATGTCCAGGAGAAAAGAGTTATCATGACTCACATGGGGAAAGGCAGGGCAATCCTGAGAGACACACGGACTTCAGAGTTAGTCAGAATTGCGTGGAATTGTGATTCTTTGTTTTCCTATCTGTGTGGCTTTGAAAAAGCTCTGTCTCTGTTCTGTGTGTTTTCCCAATGTGTAAAGTGAGATGAGGATTAGCTGCCATTAGCTGCATAGGATACTGTTGTGTGGAGCAGATTTAAAAGTATATAATACTATTATAGTCTGCTTTCTATTGTGATAAAACATTCTGACCAGGGGCTGGAGAGATGGCTCAGCGGTTAAGAGCACTGACTGCTCTTCCTGAGGTCCTGAGTTCAATTCCCAGCAATCACACGGTGGCTCACAATCATCTGTAATAGGGTCTGATGCCCTCTTCTGGTGTGTCTGAAGACAGCTAAAGTGTACTCATACAAATAAAACATAATAAATAATTCTAAAAACAAACAAACAAACAAACAAAAAACACCATTCTGACCAAAAGCAACTTGGGGAGGAAAGTTTTGTTTGGTTTACACATCCCAATCAAAGCCCATCATTGATGGAAGTCAAGGTAGGAATTCAAGGCAGGAACCTGAAGCATAGGCCATAGACAGGTGCTGCTTACTGGCCTGCTCTCCGTGGCTTGCTCAGCCTGCTTTCTTATACAACCCAGGACCATCTGCCCAAGGGTAGTCCCACTCACAGTATGTGTGCAGTGGCCTCGGCCTTCCTACATCAACCATTAATTAAGAAAATGCTTGCCCACAGGCCAATATGATGGAAGCATTGTCACAGTTGATCTCAGCTGAGGTTCTGTCTTCCCAGAAGACGCTAGCCTTTGTAAAGTTAACAAA